TACCAGTTTTGATAATCACTTTCTGAAAATCAACACTGGGAGAATGCTTCCCAATTAATTCTATGAGGTCACGTAGAGGTATAAGAAAAGAAAAAATAGATCAATATCTCTCATAAACAAAAATTTAAATTCTGGAAGAAAATGTTAGAAAATCAAATATAATAGTACATATGATTACACACCATAACCAAGTAATATTTTTCATAAGGGTCCATAGCTAGTTCATCATTAGAAAATTAATTTGTATAAATCATCATATCAAAATACTTAAGAAGGAAAATCACATGAACATCTAATAGATTCAAATAAAGTATTTGACAAAACCCAATATCCTTTCCTCCATACCAATAGAGTCCCTGTTCTCAACTTGACAGAGAATATTTAAAAAAATCTGTATAGCTGACATGCATTTTTAATGTTCAGAAACAGAAAGTTTCCTTACTATTTAAGATAAGTAGCCCAGCAAGAATGTTCCTTCTCACCACTTCACTTCAGCATCATGCTGAAATTTTTAGGAATACAAGAGGACCAGGAATACAAATAAAAGCATGCTGATCTAATAAGTGTTGTTAGTAATATAGAAACAGAAAAGGGTAATGTACAAAATTCTCTTGCTTTCCTATAAGTTAACATTAAGCAAATGGATTTGAGATTTAAAAACCCATTTACTAAACCAGGCAGTGGTGGTATACAACTTAAGTTCCAGCACTCCAGAAGCAGAGTCATGTGGATCTATATGTTTGAGTCCATCCTGGTCTACAGAGCAAGTTCCAGGACAGCAAGGGCTACATTGGGAAACCCTGTCTCAAAATACTAATAATAATCCCAGGAAGCTGGTATAGAAGAAATGCTATGAGCTTGAAGCCAGTGTGGTCTACATCTTGAGTCAGACCAGCCTGGTATACAGAGTAAGATTCTTTCTCAATACACACACACACACACACACACACACACACACACACACACACACACACACACACACACCCTAGTACCACTTATATTATTACCACATATAATTAAATACTTGGATATCAGTCTAACAAAACAGCATTTATAAGTTCCATACAAACAGAACTGTGGTGATATTTTATTTGTGCACTCCAATAAAGCTTTTCTGAGGATCAGAGGAAAAAGCCAGCTACTGTATTAAGCATAGAGATTAGGCAGTGGTAGCACATGCCCTTAATCCTAGCATTTGTGAGGCAAATTCATCCAGATCTCTGTGAGTTCAAGGCCACACTGGGAACAGAGCTAGGTATGGTGGCACACACCTTTAATTCCCAGCACTAGTTAACCATATGTATGTAACCACAGGTATGGAGGTCTGTACAGACAGGCAGGAAGTGAAAAAGCTGGGTGGGTGGAGGAAAGTGATGTACCTGGGTGGAGAGAGGAAGTAAGAGGGCAGGGACAGAAAGGCATATAGGCATGGGTATACAGGAAGTAGCTCTCTCTGGAGGCTGAGCAGTTGGTAAAGTGAAGTTGGCTGTGGCTGGCCCTATTCCTCTGATCTCTCAGTTTTAATCCTAGTATCTGGCTCCATTTTTTTTTTTTTACTAATAAGACTGTTTAGCAATTTATCTTACAGAGAAGTACAAAATGTAGTGAACAAAATAAAGGAAAGCCTGGAGACTAGAGAAGTATTCACATTTGTGGATAGAAAACTCAGTATTGCCAAGATTTCAGTTCTCCACATCTTACACTAGATTTAATGCATTTTTCAATCAAGATTTTTTTGTAGGCATCAAAATGTAGAGGCAGATGACCCAGAGTAGCTGAGCAAATACAAAGGAGTAAAACACAATTGGAATTCTGGCACTGCCTCACGTTAAGACTTACCACAAAGTCACAGAATACATGACAGGGTGGTAATGATGACAGATTAGATGGGTAGGTCATAGGGGGAATTTACAGTATCAAGAAACAGAACCACATAAACATAGTTACTCACCCTTGACAGAAGAGTAAGACAATATGGCAAAGATAGTATTTTCAATAAACAGATCAAGAAAAAAATGGGGATCTCAATGCAAAAGAAAAAGAATCTAAACATAGATGTATACCATTCACAGAATTAACTCAAAATGGATTAATAACTGTCTTAGTTAGTGTTGTATTGCTGTGAAGAGACACAGTCATCAAGGAAACTCTTAGAAGAAAGCATTTAATTGAGGGCTTGTTGGAAGTTTCAGAGGATTAATCATATGACCATTAGAGTGGGGAGCATGGCAACAGGCAGACATAGTACTGAAGCAGTAGCTGATAACTTTGCATCCTGGTCCATGGGCAGCAGGCAGAGAAGAGGGGGGAAAGAGGGAGAGATTGGGCCTATTATGGGCTTTTGAAACATCCCAGTTCACCTCCAGGGACACACTTCCTCCAACAGGCCACACCTACTCCAACAAAAACCATACCTCCTACTCCTTCTAATCATTACAATTCCACTCCTTGGTGACTAAGCATGCAAATATATGAGCCTACAGGGTTGTTTTCATTCCAATTACAGTGATGAAAGTATAAAATTAAAATGTATAAAAATTTCTAGAGAATAACAATAGGGGAATATGTGGATGATGATGACCATGGACTTGTCAGTCAATCAATCAACCTTGAGTTTGTGCCCCTCTGTGCAACCATGGCTTTTTAGATATAACATCAGCAGCATGATCCTTAGGAGAAAGAATAACTAAGCTGAGATTCAAAGAGTTTATCTTTGGCTCTGAGAAAAAATATTGAGGATGAAAATGGAAATTATTGCAAAATACATACGGTAAAGCAATATTATGGACAGTTATCCAGAGCAGAGATTATGTAAGGTCTCAGAAGCAATGCACAAGAAAAGCTCTTCTCAACTGAAAAGTGAGAAAACACAAAGTCCAGATTAAAACATAGAGAAATGAAGATACTCACCAAAGATGATACACAAGTGGCAAAAAATGCACACAAAGCAGTGATCTCTGTTACATATCTCAGGGGAAGCATGTTATGGCAGTGAAACTCTACAGTGATACTGTAATGCTGGCTGTCAGTGAACCTACTTTCTAAGCCTTTTCAATGTACATTTTTAGTACTAGATTCTAATACCAACTCTGCCAATTGTGAATGTTTCAGGTTGAGTTCATCAATCAAAACAAATGGACCATTTTGGTGGCAGATGTTATGGGACGGTGTGGAGGTCTATGGGATATCTCTGCATCATCCTCTTGGTTTTGCCATAAAACTAAACATGTCCTTTAAAATATGAAGTCATTTTAATGATACAAATGTACATAAATAAATAGCTTCACAATACAATGAGTTATTATTTAAATAAGAGTGAACTTCCTGTAACAAAGTAAAACATTAATAATTAAAATGATTTCAAAGTGTTCTCCATCACTTTATTTGTAGTAATAATATATCCATGCATATTTAATCAGCCCTCTAAGTGTCTCTATTATAAGATTCTATTTATTTCAGCAATAAATATCAAGTGTTGTCCATGAGAAGCATTTCTCAGTGTGTAGGGAGTTTCTTGTAAAACATATACCTGCCATCATGGAACTTACATGATCAAGAGGAAATGTAAACTGAACAACTCATACACATGATAATTTAAATTTTTAATTGTTGTTATGATGAACACTTTGAAGAAACAAATGGAGTGAGAGCTCACCCGGAGAGAATAGTGAGTGTGGATATGAAAGAACCAATCAGAGGTCAATTGCAGAAACACAAATAAGAAAGATATTAGCATTTAATTTTTTCTCTTCAAAATGATCTCTAGGCCTGGAGGCTGTGTGGTAACTCAGAGATCATAATAAGTCACATAAATAATTATGGTAATATACTTTTTAAAATACACACTTTATATTGATATTATGTAACTAAGTTATATTAAATATAAGGGCAAAAAATACCAGAGAGAGAACGATTTGCTGAATGTTCTAGAAATGACAAAAACTGCATTTCTACTAGATTTGTATTTTCTTCCTTTCAATTTGACTGAAAGCCTGAACTTTCACTACCTGTTATATGTTGTATACAATTTCATATCATATACTGTTTGTGCACATTCTGTCAATACTGAAGTGAGAGGTACTTTTAATGCTGCTGAAGCCTGGGGCTCTCTGTGTTTAGTGTTTCTGCTGAGCCAATGACTGTGTGTCCTATCAACTCTGAGTCATCATCTCCTTGGGGGTAGATCTGGTGGTTAGGAGCCCCACTTGATCAACTGGAGTAGTAAGAGGTTATACATATCTTCTAAATGGAGATTAAAAGGTCATGAATAAAATACTTTTTTTTTTTGTTTTGTTTTTGTTTTTTTTCGAGACAGGGTTTCTCTGTGTAGCTTTGCGCCTTTCCTGGGACTCACTTGGTAGTCCAGACTGGCCTCGAACTCACAGAGATCCGCCTGGCTCTGCCTCCCGAGTGCTGGGATTAAAGGCGTGCGCCACCACCGCAGATTTATGGCACAGAAGATACAACAACAGAGTTCATTTGGGCAATTACATGTTCACAGGAAATGAGTGGTCTTCGACATGCTTTGGGTGAGGACTATCATTGCCTCTCAGAGATTAAGCCCACAGGCCACTGTGGAACTGGATGGAGTCACTAGAAGTTGCAAGTCTCTATGACATGTGTAGTTCTCAACTAGCACAACATAGCAAAATGTGAAACTGGGTACACAGTGACACAGAGAAGGAGAGATCAAGTTCACGGTGCTGGAGTAGACCGGGTTGGCCTTTAGATCACATTCTGACCATTTCATGACTGTGGCTCTTAAGTTATTTATGTCTTCATTTTCCAAGCCTCTCAGTTTGCATAGGCAAAATGGTAACCAAAAGTAATGTTTATATCCATTTACTAGTGATTCAGAGCAACATAACTCTGTGTTTGATGTATAGCGATATTTAGTAATAAATGTTGAGAATCAATTTTTAAATAATGAATATTCCCAATTACCCATATTTTCTCACGATTTGTTTTTTATTTTTATTTGTTTGTTTTTAAAATTACAGATGCTTCCTAAAATCCTGGACAAGCTAGCACCAGCATTCACCATGAACAGCTGCAGCTTTCTGGTGGAAAAATCACGAGCCTCCACTGCCCGGGTAGTGGTATGGAGAGAGATAGGAGTTTCCAGAAGCTACACTATGGAGAGCAGCTATTGTGGCTGCAACCAGGGCCCCTACCAGGTATGTGAGGCTATAGGACCCCTGCTATCTGCTCAACAGCAGGACATAGAAATGGGGACCAATAACAGACCTGTCTTTCTCCCTTGCAAGAGGTAGAAAGCTCCTAGCTGGGTCTGGGCTCACTCCTTTGCTGTGAAGAACTGCTTCAATGGGTATCTTTTCCTGTAGCAGCATCTCTGTTGGTCCCGGAAATAATCTGTGCATGCCTTGCAATGCAGTGCTTCCATCAGGTATCTTCACTAGCAAGCAGCAGGGAGCCTCTCTCTGATCTGAACTACTAATCATGGCTGTTAGGTGCATGGAAATCAGTTATCTCTTTCATTAACCAAACTGGTCCCACATATATCATAGATGGTATGAGTCTATAGGTATGCTCAAAACATTTCTGTGTTGTGTGTTTTATGTGCCAGTGTAAACCAGCAGTCACCAGAGCACAGCAGAGTGTATGTAGACTGAGTCCACCAGAAGGAGTGTTTTTTGGTTTTTTTTTTTTTTTTGGGTTTTTTTTTTTTTTTGGACGCATGTGTTAGTGTTGAGGGAAAGCACTCCTGTGTAAATCATGTCCTTTCTACAGCTATATTAACTGCCTGAGCAGCTGGATAGCTGCTACAGCACACTGCTCTGGCTGCTCTTCCCACTCTCCCGTAGAGAAGCATAAATAAGAGACACAGTGACACTGCCAGGGTAATAGAACTCTTTTAAATTTCTTTAGGCAAGTTGACAGACTGCTCCTTGATGACTTCTATTCAACCCCAAGACTACCCAGACCTCATGAACACAGAAGCTCATTGGGTGTTGGCTTTGGGACATGCCTAGAAGAGCTAGGAAACTCTTGGCATCTGTCATGAATTTGTAGAAATCTGTTAGCTATCACAGCAAGTTGAGGGACTGGCAGGTTATGAGATCTGTCTGTCTTCCCACCTGCCCAAAGAGATTTTTGACACAGGGCTATTGAACCATTCCTTTCGTCTCACTAATTCTGTCTGTTAATTATTCTACACAGTTGCTTCAAAGAATTACTTTGTTACTGGATTAATGTTATTAGACTAAATGAATCCAATTTGCTCATGTTAATACAGATGCAAAGTAGAAAGATTTGGGATCTTTGCATAGGCAACAAAAGGCCTCACTCTTCCATTTATCAAAAGGACTGGAAGCTCATTACCTCACATGCCTAGATGCTTGCCCAATCAAATGAAGATATTAATGAGGATTCCTCTCCTTACAACACACAAGTTCTGTAAGTGTGTGGATGGTTGGAGAGTATTTTATCAGGAATCTCTTCATTCTGTTGGCACTCAAAAACCTACGGTATCAGAAAAATAAGCCTGGAATACTGTGAACCTGTGGCCTTTTGAATGTAGGATTTTGTTTCTTTGCTGTATGCTTTTTTATGGAAAGGGGCCAGTCATTCAAAGACATTCCTTGCAACTTTTTGCCGATTTGATTGTTGACTTTCAGTGACTTAGTTTCTCTAAGAACTAATTCAGCCTAATATCATCTAGTCACATAAATATCAATGCAACTCACAATGAATCAACTGGACACTCAAAGGCCTTTCTGGCTGTTTGAAAAGAGAATGGCTCACAGGTCAGGTCCCTCCGAGATCTCCATTTTCCATATAACATATATAATGGCTGATAGAAATGACAAAGATGAAAGATACTCAGCCAATGGCATGGCTTTCAGGCACTGACCCAGCATCTATGCTGTGAATTTTCCACATTGCCTTTGTATGAGGTCTCTTAGAGGAAGGATGGAGAGAAAACTGGCTATGGAAAGCCCTAAATGGGCCAGACCTGGTTTTGCTTTCACAGTCCCAGGCTCTATATGAAACACCTCTATGAATGGATTGGTTTTCTCCTTCCCGTTGTTTTCCAGTCCTTACAAACACTGTGGAGTCACTGAGCAGAATTACAGTCAGTGAGCAGGGCTGGGTGAGTAATTTTACATATGGGAGGGCCTACCTCATGGGAAGGAAGCCAGCCCAGAGTTGGGTGTTTGAGTGATTTTTGTTTGAGGAATATCGTAAAGTCTATGAGGTATAACGCGGTATAGAAACTTCTACCCTGAACATATTGCAAATAATTTCTTTTTTTTTACATTGGGAAGCTGAGTCCCAGTTGGGTCTTGAGGTTATTATTCTAAGGTCATCTTTCCATATTTTTGTTTAGCATTACCATTTATCCAAAAGATTGAGAATACTAAAATACACCCATGAGGGGCATTCCTTCCTTCCTTCATAAGAGTATAAATATTTTTGCAGTTTCTCTGGTTAACATGGCTTTAAAGCAGTTCCAATCATTTCTCCCCCAGCACACTAAGTACCTGATTTGTTAGTAGTGAAGTGAAATAGCATTTCTTACAGTGACATTTATGCTGGAGCTATATTAAAGAACATTAGCCACTACATTCAGATAATTATTATTAATGGGATATTTTTCTCTTCTATTTTCCAGTCTATAGTTGGACAGTTATAAAGAAATCTCCTGCTTCTATCTCTTTGAGATATAATCTCTGCTCTAGTTGTATAGTTAGATCCATAATTTGTGTTTAACCAGGAAGTTCCACCTACTGAGAGAATTGCTTTACCTTTTGGGGACTGGCCTAAAGCTTTCAAGTCTTCTGAGGGAGAAAGGCAAAATGGAATGGTACAACCACTGGAATCTCATGCTTTTTGAGGTGTCTAGCTCATATGGACATCTGTGTGCTTTTTATTGAATGCTTGTGACCTGGGGTCACATACATCACGTGCTTGTACATGTATCTGGGTTTCATGGGTTGCTGATGGCTATGGAGGTTGACGTGAGTACTCCCACTCAAGTAGGCTATTGACTTGCTTCTTGGCAACATCATGGATATATGAAAAGATAACATGGTTTTACTTAGAGCAAGAATAGAAGATGAATGACGCAGCTGAGGTCAAAGAGGAACTAACTGGTGTTTAATCTCTTTCCTATGCATTAGCTGTTCTATGTTGTATATCCTCTCTCTGTGTGGTTCTCCAGCATCCACTGAGGTACCTCTCCACAACCCTGAATTATTCAAGTCATAGTAATGGCCCTTAATCCACCTATCTGATGGCCTTTGCTTGGGAAGTATGAACAAAGTCTATTTATGCATGTCTGGCACCAACAACAAACCAAGAAGATAACTCGCTCATTTAGGTTTGTGAAACCAAGAGTTTGTTACTTGCTTACTTGCAGTAGCATGGGTGAGATGTAACTTAGAAGAACTTGTGTGGTACTAAACACTTGTACCACTGAAAATTCCTACCCCAGCATGGGTAACATCCTCATAGGAGCTGCACAGAGGGACTTCCCCTTTTAGTAGACCTTTCACCCACCATGCACTCTACTACCTCCCAAGACACCAGACAACTAAGGCAGAATTACATTCAAGAGGAAACAGTAGTCTTTAATCACAGGAGAGGGCCTGAAGATCTTCCTCCCACTTCTCTAAAGGACTACCAGTGGGCATGATCTTGGGAGGGTCTTGTGCAGTTCATCACAGCTGGTCTAATTAAGATAGTCATAGGCCAGAGGACAGCAATTCACAACACAATCCAAGTATCTTTCTTCCTACGTAAAATCCAATTGTTTACCATTATGCTAAGAACTTTTATAATCTCTTGATTTTTTTAAATACTCAATGCTTGTCTAGTATTGAATCATTATTAAAATATATGATGAGTAAATAAATAAATGAATAAAATGAGTCAAAATTTCTAAATGGTGGTTAAATTATTATCCTGTGTGTCGAAGTAACTAACAAAACCGAACTCACTGTGGTCCAAATGTCATCATAACCATTGTAAAAGTGGAGATTTTGAGAGCTGTTGCAGGATGTGCAAATGGAAAGTGTGTGGGTGGGAGAGGGAAAGGCCAAGAAACCAGAGCTGAGATCTCTCAGACCTGTCACTATGTACATGATTTGAGAGCAACTAATGGATTCTTTCCCAGAAAAGGCAATCTGGTCCAGGTGTGGAATCTCTCATGGCCACATTCTCATAACAGATGGTGATTAGACAGACGGACTTCCATTTGTATACAAGGTAGATGCCACAGTCCATATTCTAGGTCTCAGTTTAGGCTCAGTCACTCATTTCCTCTACATACTAAGAGCTGTGTCTATTGTCTTGCATTACCTGTATCTGAAGGAAGCTGCCAGCTGTTTTCCGCTAATCTCTGGCTCTTTAGGGTAGGCACATTCAGTGGCAAGTAGAGGTTGGGAACAAGGGCCTAGTCTCTTTGCCTCTGTTAGGACAACTATAAAAGGTTTATTGAACTCTCAAGCTCTCTGTTGGATCATCTGGGGCCTCTAGTGCATTTTCAGTGAGAGATAACTTCTATCTTGGCCATCTCTGCTTTTCTGTTGCTCACCAATGTTGCGGAGAGCACTCCTTAAATACTTCTATGGGAGTCTCTGAGTCTCCAAAGATCTTTCCTGGGGCAAACAACTTGTAACAGTGTTTTAAAAAGACATAGATTAGGAAATATAAATGTTAGAATTAAACATTCAAATATTGAAGATGTTTTGGCAGTGGTGAATTTCAGAAGGAAATTTGATTTTCTACAAATACCATCCAAGTCTCTCAGGATCCCTCATTCATACTCCACTGGCTTTGGTTATTTTGGACATGAAGCCTTCTATTGGCCCAGGACTTCACCTGAGTAGTGAGTTATTTATATTGCTATGTAATGGGAGCTAGGAAGCCAGGTGCTGTGATTTTTGTCTTTTCAGCATCTAGGATATGGAAGAAGGAGGATCACAGTTCATTGGTCATTCTGGGCTACATGGTGAGCACAAGGCCTGTGTGAGTTATATAGCGAGACCTTATCCAAAGGGCTAAAGGCTAGGGATGCAGCTCAGTGAAAGAGTGCTTGTTCAAGGTCTTGGGTTCAATCACTAACACTTGAAAAGATATGGAAGTTGGATATATTACTGCAGTTGTGTGTGGCTGCCATAACAAATGACTGTAGATGGTGGATAGTATTTTT